CATCCTTTCACCCCTCAAAAGCAAAACAGAAACACATAGAAATAATGAACTAATTCATCGGGGTGACAGGATATGATATTAATATACAAAATTCAATTATGTGTCTATACCTCAGCAATGGACAATCTAAAAGCAAAATAAAAATAATAACTCTAGTCAAATAACACTGAAAATTAAAAACTTTTATCAGAGAAATTTCAAGCTCACCATGGACTGCAAACGCAAATAAATTCCCATGAAAAATGATCACCTTTAAAAAGAGGGACTATGATGTCAGTGTGGAACACTTGGCGGGTAGGGGGGGGGGGCATCTACATGTTACAAACACCAAGGAATTTATTTGACATATGTTTTCCAGTAAAACAAAATTAGGAAGAAAAGCTAGCTAGGGACGATGTTGGCAAAGAAATGTAGGTTAAAATGTTTTCTGAAAAAGTGCTTTAACCCTGGTGGTACAGTGATTAAGAGTCTGGCTGTTAACCGAAAGGTCAGTAATTCAAAGCCCACTTGCTTTGCAGGAGAAAGATGGAGAAGCTGCTATCCTAACGATCTACAGCCTTGGAAACCACAGGGGCGGTTCCACCCAGACTGCTGCGGTCACGATGAGTTGGCATCAATTCATTGGCATTGGATTTTTTTTTTTTAATTTCAGAAACAGTGAAGAAAACTTAAATGTGAAGAAAAAGGAAGTAATGATAAGGGCACTTAAAATCGGAACACAACATATTAGAGAGGAACAATTATCCCAAAAAATGTGCATGGATTAAACCATAAAGAATGAAGATTCTCAGGGTTTTAAAAAATTCAATATATATGATAGTAAGAACTCTAACTATAAAAGTGACATGGATGTTAAAATGGAGTAATTGGTAAGGATGTACCCAATAAATAAAACAAAGGATGCAACATTAGTATCAACAAAGAATGTTTTAAGGCAAAAAGAACATTTAGGTAAAAAACAATTGCTAAATTGAGTAAGCAGAAAAGTCATTCTGAAGATCTAATGCTTAAAAATATTTACATACTGAAGAGTATGGCACTAAAATATATCAAATAAAAACTTAGAAATAAGGAGAAACTAACTTTAGTGGAAATGTGATATCAACATATTGCTAATCCTTCACAATTGTCAGTTAAGAAATAAGTAAGAAATTAGGATAGCTGAATAATATTAATACGTACAAGTAGCTTTCAGCCTTCAATCACACAGTTATAGACCATTTACATACACATACAAATAATCTTATAGTTAAGGGGGAGGGGAGGGATGGGGAGACAACACATTTTCCAAAATAGAAATCATAATCTGATTATAATGCAATAAAATAGAAAATAAGTTTTGAATTATGAATAAAGACTGCTTGAAAAAATGAGGGCAAAACCCTGGAGTCAAAGAAGGAAGAAAAATTGCAATTAGAGACTCTTTATAAAATAACAACTATCCATCAAAATTTATGGGATATGTTCAATGCTGTACTTATGGGAAAATGCCTCTTGATGTTTCCATTATCAAACAAGAAATAATGAAACTAATGCAATTCACAACGTCAGCAAAAGAGCAACATCATCCTAAGATAAGTAGGAGAAGAGAAGGAATAAAGATAGAAGCAGAAATCAGTAAGTTAAACAAAAGAGTAAAAGCAAAATTGATAACCTTAAGAGTTGGCACTTAAAAAAAAAGACCAATAAAATAGACAAACTCCTAGCAAGACTAATGTCTTTTCACTTGAGTGAAAAGAAGGAAATATCAAATGCACAGTATTAGATCTGAGAAAGGAGATAAAAATCTCAGTTACTGAGAAGAGAGAAATGTTGCATGGGAAACTATGCAGAATTCTTGGCTAATAAGCATGCGCTAACAATCTCAATAAAAATGAATCATTTTCTAGACATTTGTACATTAGAGAAACTGATTCATGAATAATTGAAATATGTTTCAAATCTGCATTGACTAATAACACGCAAAAAACATAGAAAGCATTTGCAAATACCCAGGGATCCCTACTGAACACCTGTTGCCATTCCAACACCTTCAAGGAGACTTCTTTCCAATTTGGACTATTCTCTACAGGTATTCTCCTGTCTAGTGTGTCCCAAGTGTGAGCTCCTATAGTCCCAGGGGCTCTAAGAAGCAGAAAGCTCCTTCCAGCCTTCAATGCCACATCCTCTTACCGTTGGTTGAGTGAGTGTTGAAAGACTGAGAGTTGGCCAGGCCAATGGGGTACTTGGTTAAGGTGTGTTCCTCTGGAGGCAAACTGCAACTCAGGCCTGCCCAGGAGACCAAAGCACAAGTTCTTCTCTGTGTCCTAGAAGACCCTTTTGCTATCCTCTTGGATTATTTATGCATTGCTTGATCCTAAGCAGGGCCCACCCATTGGTGGTCAACCAAGACTTCTGACATTTGGCTTTTCTGGTGCTGAGATAGAGATAAGAATGTCTTCGCTTCCTAAGGATACCATAACAAAATACCACAATGTGGGTGAACAGAATTTATTTTTTTACAATAAATGTCCAACTTGGCATTAGATCTAGGGTGGAATACCTTGTCAGTAGATCCTAGTGATCCTTGGTTCATTGGTGTTCTATGGCCTGTGGACAGATCTTTACAGGTCTCTTTCCCCTGCGTGGGTCTCCACAGTGAACCACAGTTTTCACATACACAGCAGACGGCATTGCTTGAGCTCAATAAGAGCTCTCTTGCAACCTTCTTCAGTCTCATGGGTTTAAGCACTGCCTACTCCCAGTCTCCTGATCCTATATCTCTAACCCCCATGGCTTTGTACTCTAAACTCACATCTTCTAGTAAATCTTCAACAGCTCCACCTGGATAGCTAAATGTTGTTGTCAGTTGTCATAAAGTCAATTCCAACTCAAGGCAATCTCCTGGGTGCATGGTGGAAATGGTCCACAGGGCTTTCAAGGCTGTCACCGTTTGGAAGCAGATTGTTAGGTCTGTCTTCCAAGGTGCCTCTGGGTGGATCCTTTTGGATAGACGTTAAGCCATTAGTCATTCTGATCGCCCAAGGACTCTTGGATATCTAACACCAAAAACCCACGGCCACCAAGTCAATTCCAACCCATTGAAATCCTATACAAGGTTTCTGACACTGTTAATCCTTGTGGACGCAGCCAGCCCCATCTTTCTCCCACAGGGCAGTGGGTGAGTTAGAATGGCAAACCTAGTGATCAGCAGTCCAATGTCTCACCCACCAGGCCACCAGGGCTTCTTGGATATTCAATTGGCCACCTCAATTTTATAGGGCTATCCTGAAGTCTTCATCTCTTCCAGCTATCATTTCTGTATCAGGAAACAGCTACTTCTTCCTATGGTTTGTTGGGATCAACGATACCAATATCATCGTACATCCCCTATACAATCGACAGTACACCCACCGGTCAGCTCTGAGTTTGGAATGTTGCCCAGAGGTGACATCTCCCACCGCCTCCCTGACTCTCATCAGAGACCAAGCTTCTTTCTTCTTTTCCCTGGGCTCTATCATAACAGGATCCACCTGGGCAGCTGCCATCCTCACCTCGGTCACCACTTTCTCCCACAGCCAAAGGTAAGTCTGAGCAGGTTCCTCCTTGGCTCAGAACACTCCAGGTGCAAAACCCCCTGTTTCACACGGAGCAAAAGCTGGTGTCCTTACATGACCTCTGAGTTGCTTCCGGACCGACTACGTCATGGCCCCTCAGTCGTCCTCACCACCGATCTCAGCTTAGAAAGATGCAGTACTATACACATGATACATTTCCATGTCAGTAACTTCCATGAGGGTCAGCGACTGGTTCCTTGCTGAATCCAATGGACTCTTGGCAAATATAGTAATACAGGCGAATGAAGAGTTGGTGGAATGAAGGAAGATGACTCCTGTCCATTCATCAAAGTTTTACTGAGCACCTATTGTGTACTCTGCTGGATAAGCCTAGTCCTACCAGCTAGTCCTCTGGAGCTCTTGGTGGGGCCCCAGACATGTCCCCTGCTGACCTCCCAGGCTAACCTCTGCACTGCTTGGAGTGGCGAGAAAAGGACTAGAGGCTGACTTGTAAATGCTGTCCCTGACCCCACTCCTGGAGCAGAGAGGTCAAGTGCACAGACAGTCTTAAACAAAGCCTTGAGGTTGAGCACCAAGCTGGGAACCATTCATTAGTGAACCACATCATTAGAAGCAATTAGCACTTCTGACTCCCCAGAGCTTGGCTGGTAAGCCATTAACCCTTTGATTTCCTGGGGAGGCAAAGCCTGGCTGGCAGGACAGAGGCAAGGCCTTTGATGGGAACAGCAGGCCTGGTCAATGCAGTGGGGAGCGCTGTGGCTGTGAGACCTGGCCATCATTCTTGAACTGTCTGCTCTCTAGGCAGTAGGGGAGTAGCCTGCCCCCTCGCACATAAACCCCACCACTTGGAGAAAGCTCCTCAGGGCAGGAACAAAATCTCACCCCCTTCATAACTTGCTCTCCCATCAATTTCAGTCGGGCTCAAGGTGGTAAGAACTCTCCCAGAGCTTCCGTTCTACAAGCGCAGCAGAGGCCACACAATTCCAAGGCAAATTCCAACAAAGTAAGAATAGTTCTCAAATACAAGACACAGGACATAGTCATTGTTCATCGTTATCCCATAGGATCCACATGTCTGCTGGGCCCATGGGGAGAAAGTAAATATTCCTAGGTCTACACATATACAAGACAATACAAGATGTCTACAAAATGTATACACAAATATAATGGGTATACACACACACATACACACTTACACATGCAAAACCAGTTTCAACTTAGCCTTCATATATGTTTCACGGAGTCTTCCCAAATGTCCTATTCATTGAGTCCACCCACTAGATACTTTTAAGCAGGACAAAGGACAGTTTTAGGAAATCAGAGGAGTTGCGGGGGTCTCGTGTTGATGGTCAGAAAGCTTATACCCAAGCATGTCCTTCCCCTCCTAAGAGCTGGGCTCAAGGGCTCAGCTGTTTCCTCTGATGAGGCTGGGCAGGGTGCTACCTTGTTCGCAGGTTCTCAGGCTGCGGCAGGCCATCAAACACCGACAGGACATCAAAGTCCTCTTCCAGGGCGAAGGACTGGAACACAAGCTGGATCCTGTGCTGGGCCTCCGCGGTGATGATCCACGTGCAGTTGGCGTAATTGGGATAGCCATACGGGAACCCTGGGCTCTCGACAGTCCCGTTGGGGCCTTGCAGTTGGAAGGTGCAGTTCTGGCCTGGATAAGAGGGGGGGGGGGGGGAAATGTAGTTCAGTGAAGCCAGCATTCCCAGAAGCTTCTAGAGCAGCAGTTCTCAACTTGTGGGTCACGACCCCTTTGAGGGGTCGAACGACCCCTTCATAGGCATTACCCGATGCATAACAGGAGAAAAATGACAGTGATAAAGTTGCACCAAAAATAATTTTATGGGTGGAGGATCACCACAACATGAGGAACTGTACGAAAGGGTCGCGGCATGAGGAAGGTTGAGCACCACTAGAATCTAGAGGAATCAGAATCATGTGTTAGCCAATCATTAACCCACTTCTCCAAGTGCTTCCAAATCGGCCAGTCCTGTTTCTCGACAAAAGAGGGAAGATGGATGGCTAATATTGACTGGAAGTCTGCTGTGGGCCAGACTCCTTCCAAGTGATAAAAATGGGATATATATTTTTTTAAATTTAAGGATCAGGACAACTATGTGAGATAAGGAACTTGGGTTCAAGAGAGTTTGAAAGGCGGGCTCAACTCAGAACTTCTCCTTAACAGCGCTGAACTCCAGCCGAGCCATCACAACCTTCTCCAGCTGGGCAGCCTCCGGCCTGTCCTGTCCAGCCCTGCCCTCAGCAGATGTCCTCTCTTCCCACCGAACATAGCAGCTTAACGACGACGGACAGTCTCTTGTCCTCCCAACTCCTCCTCACCTCCTACAGAGGCACTGCCTTTCCTCGATGGAAACCTAATCACCCCCCACGTGCCTGGTCCAGGGCCTGTGGGTTGAATTGTGTCCCCCCCCAAAGTTAGGTTGAAGTCTTACACCCCAGGACCTATAAGGTGGCCTTGTTTCAAAGCAGGCCTTTGAAGGCATTGATAGTTAATAAGAGGCCATACGGTGGTAGAAAAAGCAAAATCAATCCATTGCCATCTATTCCATTCTCCTATGACACAGAGTTCCTGAGACTGAAAATCTTTACAGCAGCCACTGCCGCCTCTTCCTCCTGCAGAGTCCCGCATAGACTCACACCAGCTAGCAGCCTCACGCCACCCGGGCGCCTTCCTGCCCACGAAGACTGGTCTCCGTAGAAAAGGAGGAGGAATGCCCAGAGCGAAGACGGCTGCAGGCAGGCAGACAGTGGAGTGGATGCTCTCTGCATGCCCAGCAAGGGCTTCTGGGAAACACTAGAAACCAGGCCCCTAACAACCTTCAGAGAAAGTGTGGTCCGCCCAACGGCTTGGTGTTCAATGTCTGTCCTCCAGACGGAGAGCCCATTGATTGGTGGTGTTTCGAGTGACCAGTTCCTTTGCTGTGGCAGCCACAGGCAAGGAACATATGCCTCACCGGCCCCTTCTTTCCCACTTGCACCAGGCTCCTTCGACTAACACTGGCTTGTTCCTCTCTCCAAGGAAACTTCCCATGACTTTTCAATGTACTCAACACTCAATTGCTAAGATAGAAACAAAAATGCCTCACTTCTTCACTTTGCTCCGTCCATCTACAGCCTTCCCTCTCTCCTCCCCTTCATGCCAAATTTCTAGAAAACAAAATCTGTTTCCATTTCCTGTCTCTCGACCCGCCTGTTCTGCCTTCTGCCTGTCATTCCACCCAAACACGTCAGCCGAGGTGGAGAACAGTCTGGTGGGCACGCTGCAGTCAGCCTTTGACTGACTTCTCTGTGCCTTGAACTCAGCTGCTCACCCTTCTCCTGGAAACACTCCTGCAGGGCGGAAGCATTCACTTTCTTTAAGTGCACACCACCTGGGGTCTGGTGAAAGCCAAGGCTCTGATTGACAACATCAGGGTGGGGCTGGAGAGGCTGTAGTTCCCACTCACTTCCAGGTGATGGGAGCCTGAGGATCAGGGCCATCCTTTGAGGAGCAAGGATCTGGGTTTCCCTCCCTCTGTCTTCCTTGGCTGCTCTTTCTTGGTCTCTTCAGGCTCGGTATTGAGGTGAGGCTTCTCCCCTCTCTAGTCTAGATGATCTCCCCATTTGTGCCCCATGACCCCCTGCTTCATATTCCAGACCAGACCGCCCCTCTGAGCTCCAGACCTGTGTTTCCAGTAGACCTTGAGCTTGCTGGGTTACCCCGTCCATCTATGCTCGCCCTTCGCTCCTCCCTCAGTGATTGGAACGGTGTTTCCATCTCTTTTGCTAAACGGTACCCCATCTTAGAAGCTGCCTCCGACATCCTCTCCCTCAAACCCTTCAGGGTCATCTGTCACCCTCGTGTCTGTCTCCATGCCCCAGCCCCTACCAATCTCTTCACAGAACATCTCCGAACTTGTCCCACATTCCCTCTGGATAGCTCTGGCCAACTCCCCCTTCACACTGATGCTAGGAAGAGATGAAGAGGTTCTTTTTTTTTTCAAAACAGAAATTTGGTCAGATTATTTTACCTCCTCCCACCCCCATCAGCCCCCAACCTTCAACAGCTCCTCGTCGCTCTTCAATCAGCAAAACGTACTTAATGCCTGGCCCTTAGTGACCTCCCAGCCTCACGCCCTCCCAGCCAAACCCTGCTCTTCTCGGTCACTTGTATTTCCCTTACTCTCTTCTTCCACAGTCACAGGACCTTTGCACATTCTGTTCTCTCTGCCTAGAACATTCTCCCCTACCATACTCATCTGTTAGATCTCAAGCAAGAGTCTCTCCTTGGTGAAGTCAAGCCCCCTATTATATGTTCCCATGGCACCAGAACCCAGTGGCCCTCAACCTTCCTAATGCCCCGGCCCTTTCATACAGTTCCTCATGTTGTGGTGACCCCCCAACCATAAAATCATTTTCTTTGCTACTTTATAACTGTCATTTTGTTACTGTTATAAATCAGGCGACCCCTGTGAAAGGATTGTTCGACCTCCAAAGGAGCGGTGACCACAGGTTGAGAACTGCTGCCATAACCCTTCCTTGTTAGTGGTTAGCATAGAGAGGCATGCCCATGCTTCCACATAATCTATGCCCATCGGTCTTCTCACCAAGCTACAGAGTCCACAAGAGCAGAGACCATCTTTGAATGTCCGCCTTGAATTCAGTACCAGATACACAGTAGGTTCTTAGTAACTCAGTTTGGCCTTTGGATTTATTCAGTGTTTGGCTGGACACTCCTGTAACTGCTTTGCCCATGTTCGCTTGTTTCATCTCCAGAATAGCCCTAATAAGGTAGAGGCTGTTACTACCGTCTTCATTGTTATAGATGAAAAACTAAGGCAACGAGAAATTAAGGAACCAAGCCAAAGTCATACCATTACCCAGGGGAGGAACGCAAACATAAGCCATCTAACTTCAAATCCACTTGCTTAGCCAGTCTGCTGATAAAGTGACTCAACAATAATTTTTTAAAGCCCATTTAACTGACAAAAGAACAGTTAATCTCTAACAATATTAAGAAATCACTCCATACAAAGTATTCCATTAAAAAAGAGGGGGAAAAGTTAAGGTTCTCTGAATAAATGTTAAAAGGACATTTAATAAAATTAGACATGTAACCATGATTAGAATAAACATTTGGACCGGGAGAGTGACTGTTTCATTACCCTAATAAAGCTTCCATTTTAAAACAAGAGCCAACATTCTACTTACAATGAAACACCTGATTAAGATCAGGAACAAGATAGAGATACCAATATCACCGTTGGGGCTTAACGCTTTATGGGAGATGTAGCCATGCACCACAAGAAAGAGAAATGAGAAAAGAGGAAGCAAAAACATGGTTTGCAGACGATATAGTCATTACTTAGAAAACCCAGGAGAATCCATTATAAAGCTGTTAGAACTAATAAGAAATTTCCATGAAATAGCCAGATGCCAAATAAAAATATAAAAATCAGTAGCATTTCTATGCACCAGCAACAAATTAAAATGCAAAGAACAAGCGTCACTTATAATGACTATATCCTTCATAGAACACATGGACGCAAACTCCATAAGCAATGTGCAGTCATCGTGTAAAAGCAGTATGTTCAGATGGACAAAACATTGGAATAATTATAAAACCATAGCACTCTTGTGGATGGAGAGACAAACTATTGTAAGGATGCACCTTCTCCCCTTAATCGATGTTTTGTAGGTCAATTCTAAGCAAAAGTTCCATAGCCTCTGTTTGAAATGTGGGAGATGACTCCAAATTAGTCCGTGCATTTTGGCCCAAAGCAGCCAGAGTAATAAAGATCCTGACTCTCCCCAAACAGCACCTATGAAGCCCGTCTTGGGGTGGTATAAGGGTGGACAAGTAGAACATGAAATGGTACTTGTATTCAAAGAAAATGTGTTCCTGCACACGATCATCACTGTTGTCGTTAGCTGCTGTGGAGCCGGCACCCCACTCATGGACACCCCGTGTTTTACAGAGTAAAACTGCTGCCCAGAATTCTCTTGACCTAAATCTTTATACGAAGTCAGTTCCCTAGGCTCCTTTCCTCTAAGGAACTCCCAGGTGGGTTCAAACCAGGAAGCCTTGGGTGAGCAGCTGATTACAAACCACTTGCGTTACCCAGACTTATTCCAATGGGCATAAAACTGAAAATATATAAAAGGTTACACTAAGAAATGAAAAAAAATTGGTGCAGGGTCTATGAATTAATTGTAAGGAAAAGAATTATCTTATCCCCTCAACTCCCACCATATACTATAATAAATTCCTGGTAAAAGGGTGACGTTTGCAATACAAACATGAAGCATTCGGATAAACAGAAGAAAAGTTTTCTGACTTTGATTTCTAAACATAAGCTCTAGGGCGATGTTGTCTTTGCTGTCGAGTCAGGTCGGATGCATGGCCACGCTGTGAACACCAGAACGAACCACTGCCGGCTCTGAGCCATCCTCACCATCGTCCTTACATTGGAACCTGTGGCTAGGGCCTTCTCCTTTTTCACTGTCCCTCTACTTTCCCAAGCAAGATAACCCACTCCAGGAATTGGTCTCTACCGATAAGATGTGGCGTAGTGGTTACGTGTTGGGCTGCTAACCAGACGTCAGAAGTTCGAAACCACACCTACAGTTTCAAAAACCCACGAGGGTAGCTCTACCCTGTCCTAGAGGCTCACTATGAGTCAGCGTTGACTTGATGGCAGTGAGTTTTCTATAGAAGATACTAGAAGATTGATAGTTTTATGTGTATATAAGTATGGCAATATCAAAGACAAAAAATGGAAAGAAAGGTAGTATCCTTAATATAGAAAGAACTGTAACTAATCAGTAAGAGAAACACACTAGAATTGAAAATCTGGAAAGACAGTAAACCACAAAGAGTTCAAAAAAGAAGACACAAGTGACCCCCAAGCTGAAAAAGATTCAATAATAATGAAACAAGTTCCTGTCGACAACTTTTAAAATTGGTCCTGACATACATTTCTGAATGAGGTCCCCTCTCTGACACAGGCATGACATAACCTTGACTCACGCCCCTAAAGCCCACCTAGAGATGTCTCTGAACCATGTCCTTCATTGATCCAACCAATCATCCTTGCCTCCAGGCTAGACCCTGGACTAGCCCACTAGCAAACTCCAACTCAAAACTCACTGCAGAAGCGTCGATTTCAACTTACAGTGACCCTATAGGACAGGGTAGAAGTGTACCTTTGGGTTTCCGAGACTTTTTAAATCTTTACTGGAATAGACAGCCTCGTTTTTCTTCCTCAGAGTGTCTAGTGAGTTTGAACCACTGACCTTGTGGTTAGACAGCTCAGTGTGTAGTACACTATGCCACCAGGTCTCCAAACACAAGCAAGACATAAGTAAATAAATTCATGTGGCAAGGATCATGCTAAAGGAGTGCATTCTGAAGTACAGATAAGGAAACAGGCAACCATGCCGGGCGGCACATCTTAAGGGTCCCCTTATTCATATCTCACACAGCCAAATTCCAACGTCCCACTCAGAGCATCCCAGGCTGCTGCTTCAGCCCACACCTGCTTGGGGCTAAGGCTTAAGGGACCTGTGCTAGTTACATAATCTGGTGTCAATTTGGGACTTGAGAAGATTAAGAGTGAAGGGGTGGAGTCTAGTCTGTCAGTCGGATCATAGCCAATGAGGCCTCTGTGTGGGCATGGCTTTCTCCTGAGATTTCTGGGAAATCTGGTTTTTCCTCCTTGGAGGCAGGAGAGACTCTCTCACTGCTCAATCCCTTGGAGATGCTCTATTGACAAGACACATGGCACTGCGCTGATAGACCCACCATGCCCTGGGAACTGGAGAAGCCACATGGAGATTGCTGCCAGCACTGAGATGCTTACAACACCACTGGATCCAAAGACTTTCTACCCACTGGCCTGTGCTTGTCCTGCATTTAGCGCCATTGCATGTGTTTCATGAAACTGAAGAGGACTTTATAGATTGGTATCAGACAAATGGGCTAATATCAGACTTATGGGCTTAAACTGCACTGGGTTGGGATGCTTTCTTAATGTAAAATTACCCTTTATATAAAACTGTTGAGATAGTTTGTTGTGCCAGCCTGGCTGATAAACACAGGTGGGACTGACTGAAGGGCAGAGAGATAAATGGCTTGGTGAGCCTCGCCTTTCTTGTTTCTCGCTCTATGATCATCAAGTGTGCGGCTGGCTGCCTTGCTTGTTCTGTGCCTCGATTTAAAGGCTACACTACCTGTGGGATGCCTAGCCTGTGGACTGTGTCGCTGTAAGTTGAGGTCCCTTTAAGACATCTCTGGAGCTGGGGACTGGCAGTTGGTGACCTGCCTTGTGATTGGCTGCTGTGCTGACATAGCCTAGCTCTCTCTACAAATAGAGGAAGATATGGCAGCAGACTAGACTTGAAGGACTGCTAGTCTCTCTCACGGACGTGAGTTGCATTGAGCCATTTGTAGTGATTTATAATTTAACTGTTTATCTCTTGTATTATATATTTATCTGTATACGATTTAACAGTTCATTTCTTGTTATATATCTAATTATCTTTATAAATAAAAATATTAAATTATCAGCAATTTGGCTTTATCTCTCTAGAGAACCCGGTGTAACACCACTGTCTTATACAAATGAGTTTCTATGGATTTGTTTCTCTAGTCTACCCAGACTAACACAGGAGCTGAGAACAGAAAACCTAAAAATCTTTTACATCAGGGGTTCTCAACCTGTGGGTCATGACCCCTTTGGGGGGTCCAACGACCCTTTCACAGGGGTTGCCTGATTCATAACAGTAGCAATATTACAGTTATAAAGTAGCAAAGAAAACAATTTGATGTTTGGGGGCCATAACAACATGAGGAACTGTGTTAAAGGGTCTCGACAGCAGGAAGGTGGGGAAGCCCTGCTTTACACGG